GAGAAGGAGGATGGAGAAGAGAAACAGATCAAGCAGCATGATGAGGACACAGAGCCAGCATTAGTAAAGAACAGTGAATAGGAACAGCATCAAACAGCAGCAGACCAGGGACAGTCAGCACCTTTGATGACAGAAGCATGGCAGAACTCAGTGAAAGCAGGTGTTCTACCTGTTCCTGGACCAGCAGTAATGTTTTGTTTTCAGAAAATGAATAAATGTACAACTTCTTTCAAACATAAATAAAACACACTCAACTCAAAATGTTAACTGGTCTATGTCTGTGCACATTAGATCAGTAGTAACATTAATAATCACACAATAAGCCAAAAGATATGAGTAGGTGTTTACTTTACGATAGTTTTCCACAGGCAGATTTACCAAAACAGTTGAATAAAACCCTGAAATTATGTTTCTCTGTGCCACCCAAGATTTTAAGAGGCCCCATCTGGCCACCCCTATGAAACATTTCTAGAGGCAACCCTGCTAACAGACTGCCACTCAGGGTCTCTGAGTAAGACCTTTAACCCCACGCTGCTCCCCAAGTGCCCCACGATGGCAGCCCACTGCTTCCCAAGGGGATGGGTTGAATGCAGAGATAAATTTCTCCAATGTGAGATCAATAAAGTTCCATTATTATTATTATTATTATTATTATTAAGTATATTTGTTTTCCATAATGAACAAACCAGCTACATTGCAACAGCAAAAACACATCAAGATGACTGCCAGGCATGGTAGTGGAGAAGTGATGATTTGGCCTTTTATTTTAAATACTGGATAACTGGATAAATACATGGCAGATGCTTACCCCTTCAGGGGTTTGCACTCTGCTAGTGGGGGAAGGGGAGGGAGGGGGAGTGGGAATGATCTCGGCCTGGATGTCTTTTATCGCTTGTGTGGTGAGTGGTTTGAGTGTTAATGTAGGGGAGGGATCACATCTCCGGAGGGGGGGGGCGGGGGTTGTGATGGGGGGAAGAGGATTTTAGAAGGGCTTCAGGTCTGGCTCCCGGTCTCGGTCCTGGTCCCTGCCATCCCCTGGTGGGGCTTCATCCACTCTGCTCTGCTCTGCGTGTTGCCCGTGGGCCGGCCGGTTGTGGTGTCGGCCCTGTGGCCGGCTGGCTGGTGGGTCCTGCCGCCGGTCCCTGGCCCCCGGGCTATGGTGGTGAGACTGGGAAGGGGGGTGCCTATTGGAGTCAGCGGGGGGATGCCTCCCTGGGAGTGCAGTAAGCACCCCAGTCCTTTGCTCCCCATCCCCGAAATCCTCCCTCTGCCTGCTCTATCACACTGCCACACATTTCGGTTTTTGGGGAGGGGGTCGTTACTGGAGGGCCCCACCCTCTGATGACGTCCCCCTCCCCAATTTTATTTTGCATTTTAGACACTTCTATCTACAACATTTTCACAACACACATCCATGTAGGGCATTTTCTGGGGGGTGGGGGTCAAGGGCACCCGGGGGGGGGCTTATTTTATGGGCCTCACCACATTCGGCTCCCCCATCCCCTCTCACATTTAGACAGTGAGGGTTGTGGGTTGTCGAATGGGGGGGTGCGCTGGCACCGCCTATCTCCCGGAGCGGGGGTGGACTGTGCTGGACACCCCCTTTTGGTACTCCCAGTTTTAATTACATCTGAGAGCAACACGCAACACCACATTTGAACAGGCGCAGGGAGGATCGGGGTGTTCTCACACCCCTGTTCCCCGGCTGCCACCCGGAGTCTGGGGCCTGGAGGAAGAGCGAGCCGCATGGTCTGTGGTCTTAACGGGGGGGCGGCTGCGGGGCCTAGGTGGCCTGCCGGTGGTGGGGCTGTCACTTCTGCTCTCCCCAAAGAAGGTTGGACGGAGGGGCATGTAGTGGCTGAGTTTTGGGGGGAGGGTTCTGGTTGGGTGGCCTGCGCAGGGTGGGTGGGCCCCGATCCCTGGGAGGCTTTTGCTGGGGGTGGTCTGGTCCGGGTGTGGGTGGGGGGCCGGGCTCCAAGCAGGAACGAGATGGGCTGGTGTAGCGGTGGCGGTGTCACCGCTCCCATCCACCCTATCCGGATTTTAGGTTGACTTATTGGGTCATCCGATAATCCCGGGACCAACCAGTGGTGCCGCTGGGTATTTGGTCCAGGTGTTATTGGATGTGAGTGTTATGTGTGAATTTGTGACCTTTTTTTTTTTTTTTCTTTGATGCGAGTGGGGGCACTAGGGTGGGAAGGCATGATTGAGACTGTGAGGTTTTTTTTTTTNGGGCGGCTGCGGGGCCTAGGTGGCCTGCCGGTGGTGGGGCTGTCACTTCTGCTCTCCCCAAAGAAGGTTGGACGGAGGGGCATGTAGTGGCTGAGGGTTGGGTGGCCTGCGCAGGGTGGGTGGCCTGCGCAGGGTGGGTGGCCTGCGCAGGGTGGGTGGGCCCCGATCCCTGGGAGGCTTTTGCTGGGGGTGGTCTGGTCCAGGTGTGGGTGGGGGGCCGGGCTCCAAGCAGGAACGAGATGGGCTGGTGTAGCGGTGGCGGTGTCACCGCTCCCATCCCCCCTATCCGGATTTTAGGTTCACTTATTTGGTCATCCGATAATCCCGGGACCAACCAGTGGTGCCGCTGGGTATTTGGTCCAGGTGTTATTGGATGTGAGTGTTATGTGTGAATTTGTGACCTATTTTTTTTTTTTCTTTGATGCGAGTGGGGGCACTAGGGTGGGAAGGCATGATTGAGACTGTGAGGTTTTTTTTTTTCTTTCGTTTTTCTCCCAGGTTGGGGTCTGAACTGCCCCCTCTCCCAAACACATCTCAAGTCTCCGCTAAGTGCGGAGCCCATTCCCCCTGTCCTGCTCTCCCTCCACTGGCTGGCGTCGGTGCTCGCCGGTGCACTGGTGAAGCACGAGGTTTTGGAGGGGGGGGGGCAATGCCCAGGTGGCTGCTGGCTCATTCCTGGCGGCCTCTCCGCGGGGCCCGGCCAGCCTGGGCCTTGCTGGGGCTCCTGTCTGGGGGTCGGGCGCCCCTGGGGCCTCAGATCCCTGGGGCCCAGGGCTGGATTCACTTCAGGGTGGCTGGCTGCCGGAGGAGCCCGCGGACTCGTCCCCGCGGCTCCCCGGGATGCCGGCATTGCGGTGGTTGGGGGACTTCCTCGGGGCTGTCTCTCCTCCTCCCTTGGTGGGAGTCCGATTTCCTGGGCTGGCTCCTCCTTGGTGCCTTCGCTCTTGGGGTCTCTTTGGGCGTCTGGGGCTTTGGGTCTCCCAGCGCTGGACTCAGTGCTCTGGGGGGGGCGCCTCTTCGGCTCTCCACAACCACTACTGAGCATTTTCTCTATGGATAAATTTATATGCACAAGTGCACTCTCGCGGACGGCTGCAGGTGCTTGGTTCCAGGTGCTCAGAGATTGACTTCCATACAGAAGGCCCACATTCATCTTCATGTAACATATAGTACATGTCAGACTAAATAATTCTACTTTAGCGATAGTTTCAAGGTGTTGCTTTATTGTATATCTCGTACCATGTCTTTCAGTTGTGCTGTTCTTTTTTCATCTCGTTACAGGTGATGAAGCAGACTGAAAATGTTTTGTCATTGTCTCCTTTCTAGCTCCTCTTTCTTTCATCTTTCTTGTTTCTTTCCTTTTCTTCTTCTGTTTTTCTGCTCTATTTACTGTACA